AAAAAAAAAGAATAAAGCAAGAAACTCCCAGAAGTTCAATTCTAACTGATAAATTATGAACTTTAAGAACTTTTGAATGAATAAAAATAACATTTTCCAAAGCTGCTTTCCGGACTTCTTCAGCATCAAGAATACCGACGATGCTTCGGAGACCGTTGTACATCAACTCCAAATGTCCGCGAATACCTTCCAGACCAACCTAATCATAATCTTTCTTCATATTACTAAATTACGGTACTAAATGTTAAAGTGTAGAAGGTAGTAAAAACCAAATGATTAGTCAGTGGTTACCACCTTCCTTTTATACTTTTGCCACCACTTTATTGTCCGTGATGCTTAGCAGCAAAACTCCAAACACATGCCTCACTCACCACCTTGCCCCATCTGACGGGCTGCTATGCAGTAAGACGTTTGGAATGTGCAGAAGTTTAGCAACATCACGGAACAAGAATGCTTAATGAATTCACCAGAAATAGACTCAAACAACTGTTTGTTTACCATGGAACATGGCGCTACAACATCTAGTGCATTCGTGCGTTAAACATGGCTGTTCTTGAGAACAGCCATGCTTAATGAAAGAAGAAAATAATTCTTCTTTCTTGTTCTGTGCATTTCACAGAAACTGCCACACGGCTTAGGCTGGACGTCTCACTTGCCAGTGAGCTCTAAGCATTCTCTTTTCATGTGATGGCGCACCTTAAAACCACCAATAAAATAAAGACAAACACACCTGCGCAGCGTCCCTGCTAATAAAACCATTGGAAGGGTCCGGATCTATACTACCAGCTAAAGTTGCTTCGACTACACCAAACCTAACTGATCTTTCCCTGTGGTCTATTTGAGCCTGAAATCTCGTATATCAGCGTCAGCTACCGCCCGGACGAGAGGAAGGACAATTAAAAATGAAACCATTTAGTGTTTTTATGTACATTTAGGCCGCACTTCAACTAGTAACAATGTCCAATTGCACATTTTAACGAAGCCAACACTGTTCTAGCATACCAGCATATCGTATCAGGTAAAAAGCTGACGCGAACTAAGATATGCAACTTTACCCCTTCATAAATAACATAAAAACGCGCGAGAAACGAAATACCTTTACATAACGATGTTTGAAAATATCCACCAAGAACCTCTCAAGCTCCACACCATCATAAAATGGAATAACTTTTGTTATACGGTCAAGGGAGACAGTTTCGTAAATCAAAGCAAGTTGTTTGATAGCTTTAGTAGCAGTAACGGTGCGGATAGAATCAACGTACTGATTATAGTCATCCCGCTGTAAATCAGTTATCTTCTTCAATTCAACTTGAACTTCATTCGCTAATCGTAGAGGAAGAAAGTTGCACTCCAAGAGCCTTAAAGCGATGCAAATTAATTTAACCTACGATGTCATATTCTAACAGGAATTTTATAGCAAACGAAACTGAACATGGGAATGAATAAAAATAAACAAACTTCATTCATTACCCATATCTGCTACTCAAATTGCAGATAAATATACGCAGTGAAAGTGACAAACGTCACTTGCCAAAAGATAATGAACAATACTGTAACCAACCGATAAAGGCTACGTGCGTTTTCATTTGCTATTTCAGGAATATTTAAACGTACAAGCTCCTTCAAGATACCATTTCTGGTTGGCGTGATTGGCAGACGCAGCAAATTGGACAACAATCTAAAACTTTTAGTATATACTCGAAATGTCTGAAAGATGTAAAGTTGGAACAAATGACTCAATAACATTCAGACCTCATATTTGCAATATGTTGCTCTTCAATATCTAAATGTCGAGTTAAATCTGATGGAGCGTCCGCACCATCTGGAATTGAAAGAGTTGCAAGAAGAACACGAGTTGCTTGTTCTAAAGCTTCTTCTGCACTGAACGTTTTCTTCATATCTTTGTAAATAATGAACTTTTGAAGCAGAGCTGTTGCATGGAACAAACGATTACCGGCCTTCCAAAATACTAGGGCCAACTAAAGGGGGTATTTTATAGATGTAGAATCGAACACAACTACAGGAACGATTAGTATTAACATGATAAGCGCATCGATGGCGGTACAGACTACTGAGTTTCAGAATAAAATTGTAGGGTTTTGTCAGCAAACGTCTCAGAAAATGGTTCTGATGCCGCAAAAACTGTGAAAGACTCGTCCTACTTTTGCATGATGAAAAGATCATTATGCACATTTAGGCGCAAAATGAAACGAGACCATGCAAGTCAACTTTAAGTACATAAAAAAAAAGAATTATCTGAACTGATACAAAGACAAGAACTATTGGAAGAACCACTACCTTGTCGTAATAATTCACATAACTCGCTGGCTTGACCATTTTTCTGTCCTTGTCTTTACTCAGCTGCATCATTCCGTGAACATCTTCTGCACTGCGATATGCCTCTTGCCATAGCTCCATTTGAATAGCAGTATCAAGCTGAATAAGACGCGTATCTTGCATTAAAGTCAGGGAGTCTGCAGAACTCAATTTTACCCTAAAACACCATAGTATGAAAGACAACATTACCATTAATCTAAAGCACGCTTATTTGAAATCAAATAATTAAACAATTTATATTTACAAGCAATGCCCACACATGAGGTAAGTGCTGGTGTTTCTGTATTTGACTTAAATGGATTCTAAGATGATCGCACAGTTTTCGAAATTCTGTGCGACGCTGGTACTTGGCGCAAAATTCGAACGACTGACGTGCTATACGGTGATAAAGCTGTTCGACCTAGAAAATCAAATATAACGAGGCAACGAATACTAAGCCGTTTATCAATTAAATGAAAGCTGCGCTAACACCAGATAATAGCTTACGACAGCATTATTCCGCAAAAGATCCAAACAATTTCTATAAGAGTCCCAAAGAAAGCGCAACCACGGACTTAGAACTGTACGGTCCATACGATCTTGAGCTGCCGCACCGGAAACTGCGGACAATAGAAGACTAAATAAATAAAAATCATTAGAGAAGAAATATGCAATGATAACGTTCCACCACTCAGCGAGATGTCTATGAATTCCTATTTATAACGAAGCGACCTCCCTACGGAAAAAACGAAGGCTCTCTTTTAACAAACTTACTTTTCAGGAGCATCTGCTTGGTCAAGATCATCAATTTCTTCAACTTTTTCGATAGACGTTTTTTGAGCTTCTTCTGTCTTTTGTTGGGCCAATTCCAAAAAATGATGGATAACAGTTTCCAGAGATTTTACGGCAACCTTAAATCCAAAAATAATATAAGAAATAAAGTCGTTAAAAGCTAATTATAAGTTCTAATTACTTGTTGAGTCAAAGCCTTGTATTGGAACAGCGCATCCTTCGCCATATGAGGCCTTCTTAGCATGACGCAAAGTTCTACATGTTTCAGCATGATTTGCTCGTGTGTTTTGGTCCATTGCTTGTGTCGCTTTGACTAAAAAGAACAGACACTGTGGCAAAACTAAAAGTACAAGTTGAAGGATCAGGTACAATGAGAATATAATGCTTCCCTAAAAAAACTCACAATTTATTCCCAGTTTAGAAAGCTAATGCCCACACCTATGAAAGCACCAACAGAAGAATAAATATTAACCGTGTACCAAAAACACTTCAAACTACCGGGACCAGACACCACCTACACAATTAGTGGCAGACCTGATGGACAAGAACTGTCCTAACAATGTTTCAAAATAAAGCGCGGGAAGCGCATATATGGGACTAAATGAGGTACCACAGGATTTTTGCCAGTAACAAGCACAAAACTGCTTCCAGCAAGTGCACGAAATTTTACAAACCAAACGAACCTTAATAGTGTCATGTAACGTTTCTAGTGCGTCAAGTTCCTTTCCAACCGAAGTTAATTCTTGAGCCCGCTTCAGAGCAGTCTCCGGCTTTTGAAAAAAATTTGGGGGCATTTCCAATCACTTTAAACCCCCTCCAGAAGCTGCAAACAAAAGTTGTGAAGATGTGAATGAAACAGCACACGCACTCAGCGAAATGACACAGCGTCACACCACTGTTACCACAAATTCTTATTGGCTAAATTGAAGCGATAAAAACAACTACAAGTAGCTTTAAAAATAAGTAGGCTGTTCCACGCGAGAAACTTTTGCGCTACACAATATCAATCAGAATTTGGCCGTTTTTTACAACTAAAAAAAAAAAA